CGAATGATCATATTCATTCATCTCAATGTCGATATGATCAATTAGAAGTTTTTTTCAATATTAAAACAACCTTTTCCGGTGGATTTTTTAGGTGCATTTGTAATTCTACATTTTAAGCTTACAACCTTATATAAACTTGTTCCAAATCTAATATATAGTTATTTCAGGGCCACAATTTTTTGGGATGTTATCGCATCAACTCAAACACTAACTTCAATTTCTTGGGATGTGACCGCTTCAACTCCCTCAATCAAAAGACGTATTTGGGAGAATTTTTTCAACTTGAAAATTTGAGAATCATATGAGAATCACTAGACGATAAACTTCAAAAGAACCAAAAAAAAAAAATAGAAAAAAAAAAAAGAATTTTGAGTTTTCGAAAACTTAGATTCCCTCTTCCAAAAATTAGATAGTTTCTATTCAATCATGAGATTTTATTTTGTTCAATGATGTGGAAGTGCAATTTGGGTTATTTATTTTTATTTATTTATTTATTTATATATTAAGATTGGTCTATGAAATGAAGATGTTACATCTCCAAAATTTGGGGAGTCCTGATTCGACTAAAAAAAATTAGGATCTTAAAATTACACCTATATCGGGTTTTACCTAAGGAAGTAAATAGACAGTATACTCCGATAGGAGTATAAAGTCCCTTCACAAAAAAAATATATAAACTGCTTTCTCTATCCCCTTTAAAAAAACGGCCTCAAAGTTGAACGTTAGGGTCGGAAATGTACCCGATGGCCCATTCTGACCATACAATACTAGGGCGTGAGCCATGAAATGTGGCCCAAGGACCGAGCCAAGGCCACAACATGGCCAGCCTAGTTCAGCTCGGTCCGGTCCCCTTATTTTCTTTTAGTTTCCTAAATTTATTTATGTCTGACCCGGCCTGGACTGAACTTAAAAAACCAGGACCCTTTGTTGCCCAAGGGTCATGCAAAGGCCACAACAGCGCCAACCTTGTTTAGCCCAGCCTGACCCCCTTTTTTTCTTTATTTCTCCTTGATATATTTTTCATTTATCTGGGCGCTGGCTCGGCCCTTATAGGGTTAGGGCCTATCAGGGTCGAGCCTGGACCTACGCCAAGGCTTTTTTGCCCCGATCAAGGAGTGCCTGGGCCGACCCTAGAGGGACTAGACAAGGTTAGAGCGAGGGCGGCACGTAGCCCAGTCCTTTGCCAGCTCCATTGAACACAACCACACAATTTTGGGGGGTAAAATCTAAGCGCTAACAAACACAAAATTCTATTCTTTTTCTTTTAAAAATAATCATGTAGTGATTCTTTCCCAAAATTTCAGATTAAAAAGATCCTCCAAATAGGTCTCCAACTAAGGGAGTACACCTACATGATGCTCCAAAGGAGCATAGTGCACAATCTCATGAGAAAGAAATCGAAATTACCTTATGAGTTTTAAGTGACATCTTGAGTTACAAGCATCCACAAGCTTTGAAATGCAATCCAATGCGGCACCAGCCTTTCCCTTTAATACACTTGACCGTTGGGAAGAAAATTGCTCTTGTACACAGTTTTTATGAGTCTATAGAGAAATGAGTCCCCTCTTACTAATTTATTTTTTAGATAAGTTCTTTTACTCAATTTATAAGAACATATAATCTCTAACATGTAGATCGTGAATATGAAAAAATAAATCGTCATCATCAAGTCTTTTTTCAACTAATTGGGATCGACTCCAGGAATCCTAGTCCTCCAATATGCTATATTAAATCATGTCTTTTTGGACTACTTCTAACCACATCCTTTTGGGTTTGACTCTTGCCTTTTTCAATCCTTCCACTTAAACTAACTCACACCTCCTAACAGGTGTCATACTGGGTCGGTGCCACACATAGCCAACCCACCTAAGTCTACTCTCTCTCATCTTATCACCTATTGATGCCACACGTAAATTTTTTCGAATGAATTCATTTTAAATTTGAAAAAAAAATTAAATTTAAAAGATTTAAATTAATAATGTGGTAAAAAAAAATTAAATTAATAATTTTGTAAATAAATATTTGAACAGTTTCAACTATTATTAGGTTATATCTTGGGGGACGCAAATGCGTCCCCGACTCATGAAAGGATTTTCCATTGCTCTTATGATATACATTCCTGTTATTATAATAAAAATAAAAGTGATAAGCAAATATATATTGCTTTGGCGGGAGTATAAGACGCACTGACAAGATTCTTATGTGGTGCATTTTTTTAAATCGAAATTTTAGATCTACTTAAAAATCACTGGTTGATTTTTTCGATAAGAAAAGGTAGATATCACCCCTATATAATTGGATGGTCTTCCTACAATCTTCAAACAATAGTTCGTTCTTTCAGACAGGAGTGCGATTTGATTTTTTTTATTTATTTCTTTTGTTTTGAGGTCAGTCACTATGTTTTGAAGTCCTCTAACATGGATTTTGGAGGTGTTATATACAGTTATGTGTCTATGATGTGTCCGTCTTTGAACAGTAGACCGTGTCGGCATGCGATATTTAGCCTCTTATGGAATGTTGAGGTAACACTGTTAGAAGGTTGATGCCCGAAACAATCAAACAAGTTGTAGCTTCAGATGGGTCAAGCAGATTCTGAAAAATCTTTCTTATGGCAAAAAGAAAAATATTTTAATACACCTAATTACAAAACTTAAATATTAAAAAATTGTGTAAATTGAGCATATCTCTAAACACTTGCGCCCAACCTTGCCCAGGTTCAAACCAGGTTCGCGCCTAAGTTTGAACCTAATCTTGTGGCCTGCGTCGCCCGAGTACGAATCGGGTTCACACCCAAGTCTGAACCTAGGCCCTCTTCTCTTGTCTAAGTCAGGGCTCATGCCGAGTTAATCCCAATCTCTTGATTCAGGTCCACAATTGGGTTTGAACTCAAGTCTATCCATGAGTAAGGCTTACCCCTGGTCTTGGCCACAGTTTAACCCGTGTCTAGTCTAGGTCTAGCCAAATTCGAGTCTAAGCCCAACAATGTGCTATTGCAGTGTGGAACACTATCATAAATGATAGGATGGTAAACCGTGGATTCCAAAACTTGATATCCTTCGAGTCTAAGCCCAACTATGTGATATTGCAGCATGGAACACTATCGTAAATGATAGGATGGTAAACCACATACTCCAAAACTTGAAATTCATTTTTTCTCATGTTCATGTATCTTGATTTCAAGATGACTGATTTGAAGATATTTAGGCATGAAAACAACCTCTTCCAGCGAAATTTTTTAGGATGGCTCCGAGTAGATTGTTTAAAGCCTCGGCTCTACATAAACTTTCTAAAGAAAGAAAGTATATTAAAATTCTAGAGAGTAAATCTGAATCAAATGTTGTTTCCAATGGACTTGGCAATGATGGTAAAGAATCCATGAATTTTGTATAGTTTATCCAAACAAGAGATTTGAAAACAAAAATCTTTGATACTACAAATCCATAGTTTTTATTGGATTCCAAATATCCAAGATTCTTAATTTCTTCCTATCCAAACAGGCCCTTAGAGAGAGAAAGCCTAAAGCCCTTGAGAGAGAATAACTTCAGAGAAGAAAACCGAGAGAGAGTCTCTAAAAGAAAGAAAATAACTTCAAAGAAGAAAACCTAGAGAGAAAGTCTCTAAAAAGTAGAGAGCCTAAAAAAGGTTATATCTTGGAAGACCATTGTAACCTTTGAGTAGATCTGATCTCGTTCTCTTGTGGAGATAACCTGAAAATGTGAACCCCGTAAATCTCGGTATCAATAAGTTTTATTTATTATATGCATTATTTGCATGATTTCTTATTTGCATGATTTCCTATTCATACAGACACATCGCTTTATTTGCATGATCTTTTATTTGATTTTGCATGATTTCCTACTAATACACACATATCGCTTTATTTGCATGATTTTTTATTTTCTTTTGCATGATGTCCTAATCATACATGAGCTAAATAGTGGTCCGCCAAAAATGCTATGTTGTACACACAAATGAAATTAAATATATAAAATAAATATAATATTAATCAAACTTCTCTCTTTCCTTATATAAGAATGCTATGGACTCCATAGGCAATTCATATCAGAAATGTCTGGTAAATTTAAGAAAGAGGCAAAATCGTCATCTTGAGATGATGTTGTCACGAGACTTCTGTCAAAGCAAACTTCCGCGTTTGTTATCAAGGGATTCTGGTCATACAAGTCTTGCATGTTTCCTTCCCCTATACTGTGATGGTTGGGCATGAAATTAATTTTCATTCTTAGTTGACACTTCACCGGCGTTTGCTTGGTGGGTGGCACGAGCATGGCTTGTGTGGGCCGTGTTGTCGTAGCTTGTGTTGCCACCACCGGGAAAGTAACTACTTCCACCACAAGTAGCGTCGTCCTCACCAGGAAGAGAGGTCGTGAGAGGCTCGCTAGTTTGGTTGTAGGCTTCCCTTCCACCATAGGCAGCATCGGCATGGTATACGTGACTTGAGTGGGCCATGTTTCTACCAAAAGCAACATAGGCCTCACCGGCCAGAGAGGTCATGGGAGGCCTGCTAGTTCGGATGTAGACACCCCTTCCACCTCTACCACCATGGGCATAGTATGTGTCAATTGAGTGGCCGCTGTTTCCACAACAAGCAGCATGCCTCTCACCAATGAGAGATGTTGTGGGGAGCCCACTAGTTTCGATGTGGCCTTCACTCCCACCACGAGCAGCATGGGCCTCACCTACAGGATAGGTCGTAGGGAGCCTGCTAGTTTGGATGTGGGCTCGACTTCTACCATAGGTGGCCTGGGCTTCACCTCTAGGATAGGTTGTGAGGGGGCCGCCAGCTCGGCTTTGGGCCTCAAATGTTCTGATATTTGAGGTTAGTGGGCCCCGGAAGCCACCGGGCCAAGTTGGAGCTATTATGGAGGGCCAACTTGGAAAGTCGTTCGTCATAATGTAAAAGCCTCATATAGTACTTCTAAAATTCGGAAGGAAGCTTCACAAAATGTCTCCTGAGGTCATAAACGATGTTACCATCACCATTAGAATCCATGATAATAGAACAACTTTCTTTTAAAATTGGTTAACTCAAAAGGTATAATTAAATCCAATCAAAACAATATTTATAGATGTAAAATTGTAATGTTAAAAGAAGCATTAAACATTCACTAGTCCCTTCATTATTCGTTGCTTGATCCTTTGTCATTTTGTCCAACCAAATCAAGGCATCCCAATCAAATTCAGCTCTCCAAATTTCTAACTAAACCTTGCTGCCGAGTTACCTATTTCCAATTGATTTTATTAAAGTTCAAGTTCAAGCCAGTGTGGCGGGACTCAGCCGAGTCCACTCGGCACCAAGGGAGTTATTCAACCTTGCCCTATATCCTTGTATACCATCTAACCAATAAGCCGTTTTAAGCATTTTGTGAAAAATAAGTATGTCATATAATATATCCTATCATTTTTTTCTTCGTTTCTATTTTTGGTATGAAATTGGCTCAGTAACTTCGATGAGTGACTCCCCTCGACCAAGGGGGGAGTCCTGACACACTGGTTCAGGCTTTTTTTGATACTTTTGATTTTATAGAAATATTAGTCTCAAGTCCCTATGGTTTACTACTGGCTAGAAAATTCAAATGCGTTTGTAACACAAATATGGAATGTAAAATTATTTGACTTGAATTTATAAAAAATACCAGTCATTCGATGCCTGGCCATCAGTGAAATCGGTGATATCCTGCCATGAAGTATGTTTTCCAGGAATTGGAGTTCTTTCTTCATAAAACTGAGGTGCCCGAGAAAGCTGCAACACGGTTTTGAATGTTATAGAAGAATTAAATTCTTATAGTTATCTTGTTCCATTTGAGAAAATATCATTAAAATGAGAATGTTTGTAAAAGAAAAGAGAAATACATATTAAGTACAAGTGAGGAAGCATAAATGGGTAATCGCATTACCATAATTTCTAGAGTTGATGTTAGTTCTTGGGAAAAATCTGCTCTTAAAGCAACAATGTTGGATAAGTCCATTAAAATCCTCTTCTTCAACCTTGAGATCTGATCCAAGATCTCCCAAACCAATTTCTTATGTCGAAAATAGATTTTCCCCACTAAATCTCCATTATTTTTTGCGATGCTCTGCAAATAAAAAACCAACATCAAATTTGACAAAGAGGAATTGAGTAATTAAGGCGGGATTATTAATAACTATCATCAGCCTTAGTGTTTAAAAAAAGTTGGATTGTTAGAATCGTCTCATAATATATCATAAAAAGTGTGAACCGACCCGGTTCACAGTCGAAACCCAGAACTGGGCCCTTCCCACAAAACCACCCGATTTGGTTGTGCAATCAGTTGATTCTGTTAGGGAACTAGGGGTGGCAACGGGCCATCTAGACACAGACCGGATTGGACCCCACCAAACAATAGATAAAATATATTTAAATGTTATTTTAAATAAATAAATATATATGTATTTTTAAAATATTATCACTAAAATTATATTTATTTAAATATAAGTTAAATATTACTAAAATATTATGTATTAAATTTATCTATATAATAACACTATACGGGACGGAGGTCGGGTCCACATCGACCTGGACCTAAATAGTTTTCAGGTTCAATATTTGGACCCAGGCCTGACCCATCGGATCCAATTCTTGAACCCATACACGGAATTGGTTCAGGTCCAAACACTGGGTCCCGGGTCAGGTCCAAGTCCATTTCATTGGCACCCCCATAGGGAACATAGATCTGGACTGGCTGGATCGCCAATATTTCATTTAATATTTTTTAAAATTTTTATTTATATTGACCAACAAATGGCCGATCTAGACTGGTTTCTCTACCCCAACCAATCGGGGTTTTAGACCCTAGATTGGCTGATTGAACGGCTAACTATTATAGAGTATTGCATGTATGGGTATGACAAAATAAATTTTAAATATAAAGATAAAACCCAATTGCATTATGTAAACTCAACGTATAACTTTTCCACATCTTTCTCATGAATCCTGACATTATGTTAGAATGGAGGAGCGTAGTTCATATAGCAAACTCCAAATCATTGAGATAAAGCTTCGATGTTGATGATGACAACCATGCATCAAATTTTCTCTTTAGTAGGATAAAAAACATATTGTCTACTTACCATTAAATCAATCAAAAGAGAAGGCCATGGTTTCATGATAATACGAGATTATAAATCTAATCGGACTAGCCACCAAATCGATGAGGATTGGACCCGTGACAAAATGGTGAAACCATAGGTCGACCTAATTAGTTCAAATTTATAAAATAAAATAAAAAAACTATTATAGTATAAATATTAAAGTAAAATTTATCAAACTTTATTTAGCCGGTTAGGCTTATCAAAATATGTTCGTCCAAGTAGCCAAAACTGAAGAAACACTAGCGAAAGTCTTCTTTACAAATATGCTTCAAAGAGGAAATAGTAGTTTTCAAAGAAATAATAATAATTTTACCTGCCATGAGCCAATTGTTAGTGAGGATATCCAAAAACTGGAGGCCCTCCGGTCGTCAGCCTCAACTCGAACATCAACGTTAGCCTCAACTGATGCAGCAGCATCCCTCCTAATGTCTGAATTCCTCCTTGTATCTGAATTCATGCTATCCTCTTTCTTAGCTTCTGAATCCTCAGAAGAAAGTGTTTTTTCTATAGCGTCTATGAAAGAGGTCGTTATCGTTAGGGTCAAGCCAAGAGACTTAACTATAGGATCCTGCAAATTTCAAAATACAGGGTCTTTAGAATTTCATTTCAAAATATATGGTCTTTAGAATTTTTTTGGAAACATGTATAATGTACAATGAGGTTCCACAATACGTGTAATGTTGTTCTCCCGAACCAAACACCAAGATAAATTTACTTAATTTCATGTCAAGGTATCATGTTGGGCATTAGAATTATTGAAACAAAAGAAACTTCAGGTTGGGCATTAGAAATATTGAAACAAAATAAATTTCATAAAAGTTAGAACTCATACGAATACACTATCAAAAGAAGGATTTGAAATCAACTTTAGGGAATTTTGAAGTCGGAACAATCTTTTTGGGTGAGATGATTCAGGGTTTTTTTTGAAGTTGAAAAAAATCTTTTTGGGTGGATTTTTTATGTGCTCCGTACTTCATCGTTGGCACATTTTGTAAATTTTTATGCAAAAGAACTGATGCATGGATGGTTATTTCTATCTAAAACAGTTTAAACTCTTAATTAATGTGTGATCGCGAGCCTCACTAATATATATTCACCCGAACAACAAAAATAATATATATATATGAAATAAGAGAAGAAAAACATACATGCACAGACACATGAATGGATTTTAAAAAAAGTCTATTTACCTTGAGCAGTTCACTGATGTCTATTTTTTGCTTTTCTGCGATACGCTCCTCGTCAGAATCAACATCAACCCTTCTTCTTTTACAATTGCCGAAGCAATATACAGAGTCATCCCTTTTATCCATGATTCTTCTCGTGAAAAAAACTTCCAGTGTTTTCTCTTCTGTTCTCTACAATTGTTAAAAGAAAAGAAAATGAGTCTTTTACAACGTGGTTAAAAAAGAAAATGCAATCAAGAAAACTAACAAAAAATGCTAAACTTGGGAATAATTCAAGTTTTAGATAGAAAAACCAATAAAGAAAATAAAAGAAAAATAAGAGAATTTTCTCTTCGGATTGAAAGTTTCAAAGAATATACATGGTCAAATAAAACAAGAACATAGATCCCAAGAAGAGAAAAATGTACATAAAGTAGAAGGAAATCTGTTCCTTTTTTTTTAATCTGGCCCATATATAATTAATTTTTTCTTTTATATATTTTACATTTTACCATCAAGATGAACTGAAGAAAATAAAAAAGATGGCAGCAAAAAGTAGAACCAGGAGAAAAGAAATCACTGAATTTAGAACCCTAATGTCGTACAATGGATCTAACACAACATAATATTAAACATCAAATCTCACTCCAACTGTTGAGAATGGAAACCAACTGCAACTAATGAACTATGAACATAAACCACGAACATTTTTTTTTTTACAATCAAACTAATGAAGTGAAGAATATCGCCATTAAATCAAACCATGCATTACCTTTTTAATTTTACATTCAAATAATATGTAAGAAGTAAGAGGAGAATACCTTAAAGAAAGAAGCCGAACTCCAATTTTTGTTGTTAAGAAATATGAGTTACGTCACCCTATTTATAATACCAGGTAATAAGCACTTATATTCTAGAAGCCCAGAATTCTACTTGTAATAGGAAACAAAGTAAGATAATGTACACGTTATAAAATCAATGCAATTACGATTTGTAATTAATTTCCCGCTTGTAATTCTCTTACAGGACTATTTGGATCTTTTATTTCATTGATTTAATCGTAATCTTGCAATGAAAATTCATGCTTATCCATTAGAGAGAAGAATTGATACAAAAACATTGATGATAGGAATTTTAATCAAGAAAGGAATGTGGATTTTGTTTTTTTAATTTTTTTGCAAATTGTTTGATTTTTAAATTAGAGAGATGTGATAAATAATTTACGCTGACATCATAATTTCTGATAGATAAGGTTTATTTGCACGTATAAGATTCATCAGATTATTTTTTGAATTATAAAATTGGTTAATTGGAATATCTCCTTATAGAGTCTTCAAATAAGATTTATATGCATATGTGATAACGATAAGATTTACATGCATATATGATAAGAACAAATTATTTTTTAAAAATAATGAAACCAGGCAATAGAACTTTCTTTGTTTTTTCAAAATTTCTAATTACGAATTTTATTCTTTAAAGATACAATTTTATAAGAAGGGATTTAAAAAAAAAAAAAATCTCTGGATAAAGTAGTAATTTTTTTTCAATAGACCTCGTGATTTTCATTTTGTTAATATAATTATCCTATAATATCCTTTCCAAGTTACTCATGTTGATTATTTAAGGTAAATCACGTACATTTCCATGTCGGTAGTTTCCAGGCTGTGGTATGGAGGGAGTTGTTGTAATTTTAGATTATTATTTTTTGGGTATTTTCCAAATTTTATTATATGATATATTGTTCACGTGTGTTTATATGTCTTGATACTTACTTGTTGGAACATGCAAGTTGGTTTAGGGATTTTGAATTTGTTATACCGAAATATTTCATATTTCCGTGGTAGTATACTGTTAGTTTACTCCCTCGCGTAAACTAAAGTATTAGGACATTTTTTAGATCTCAAATTTTGGATGTAATCTCTAGACCACAGACCAACCTTAAAAATAAAAATTTAAAAATAAAAAAAAACTCACTTTCTACGTGCCTGAAAAATTAATATCCTAATATTCCAATTTTTAAAAGAAAAGATTTAGATGCGTTTGGATACGTGAAGCCTTTTCCAATAGTTTTAAACTCAGTCAGTGTTAGTAGGACTTTACTATATTTGTGGGATGGTACGAAATCTTAGGTGGGTGGTAGTTTCTTTAAGATATACTATGAAGGAAAACGGTTTGATAGTGCGGTAGCCCTATCAAAATAAGTAAAACCTTACCTCATAACCCATGAAACATTGCAATTCAAGCATTCGAAAACCATTACACCGAACATCTGGGTTTATTCTCTTATATTTTATATAATATATATTTATATAATACTAAATATTATATATAATATATATTTTATAAGATTTAGTATAATATAAAATATTAAATATAATATTAATATATATATAATATAATAAATATATATAATATTTATATATAATATTTATATATT